GCAAATCAAATCACTCTATTGTCAGTATACACGTTTTTATAACGCGGGAGGTATACAAGTGCAACTGTATCACACACTCCCAGTTACACAATTATCACTGATTCTCGCACACGCGTCTGTAACTCGTAACTTGCGAACTGAGAACTAACTCGTAGGCTTGCTCGGAACTAACTTGGAACTCTCCGCTGGCTAAATGGAGAACTGTTGTTTCGGCTACTCTTCTTGCAGCGACTATTCTTCGTCCGTTACATCCGTGCTCAGACATTCAAAAATATATACAGCAGAATAATGTTTTGTATCAAGTTATAAGCTAAAACACATACTGTAATTGGATCCATATAAGTATATTGCGCATACATTCAGAAACATATATAAGAATCAGAAGAAACTACACGTACTATTAGAAATTATTATGGTCACTGTGTGATGTCAGGGCATGCGGTAATGTAGTAGGTTGAGGGGCTATGCTACAAGCCGGAAGGTCGCGGGTTCAAGGCCCGATGAGGTCATTGGATTTTTTTTTTAATTGACCTAATCCTTCCAACTGCACTATGGCCCTGGGGTCGACTCAACCTCTAACAGAAATGAGTGCCAGGAATTAATTAAATAATTTTCCTGTGGAGTAAAGCGCGGCCAGTGCGGAAGGCTGACAGCCTTACCACCTTCTTTGAGCCGATTGTCTAGATAATGTGGGACCCTCAACATCTCACAACCCTATGGGCCTTCATGGCCTGTTACAGGGATAGCTTCACTTTTTACTTTTACTGTTGTCATACAATAATGTACTTGCCCTCTTGTTAATATATTGATATATTGTGATAATGTGTAAAGTACTCATAGATTCCTCTATGTAGACAGGTAGTATTTTCTGTATTATAATATTATGTAAGTAGATTTTATTTTTATTTTTAGCACAGAACATTTAATATGAAGGAAGACTTCTAGATTCTGTTGTGTTTATGAAATATGAAGTCAGACTCTGATGTCCAGATATAAAAATACACATTATTGGTATAATTTAAAATTGCATGTTGAAATACCATAAGTAGCTTATACTGGAATAGTGAATGTTCTATAGTGACTACTGTGACCTTAAGTGTACTATCACTTACTGCTGCTCAAACCTAGAAGTACCCAAGAATGATAGAATATCTTTCCTAAGTACCAGGGAAGAAATCAAATTTTAGGGTCTGTAGTGGATCATAATTATGTCAAGGTTGGCATTAGATACAACAGTATAGCATGACCCTACCAAATTTTAAGGCAACTCAATACATAAGATCCTAATATTAAATTAATTTTAATTATGTTTATAGAGTGTGATGGTCTAAACATAGCTAGCAGTGTGGAAACTTTGAAGCCAGGAAAATAAATTGGAATGATTTATATTGTGTATATATGTGTGCATACACATGTGATAGTGAGAGAGGAGAGAGGGAGAGAGTAAGGTTTTTCTTGGGCCTTTGCTGTGAAAAGGGTCCCATTCTAGCCTATCTGTTTGCATATTTCATACACAGTTTTTCATGGTTGTCATTAATATAAGCATTTATTTTTAACATACTGATAAAAGTATGAGTTAATCACACTTAGTGCTTCAGATCATTTTCATATGAGCATATTATCACATCCCTTGTTTACATTTGTTATCTCTGCCTTAAATAAATAGATTTGTTGTTAAAACGTATGTGTAAAATGTGCTGATTTTTTACCCTTTAAGTCGCAGTGGTTACTATATATATCACAAGTTTTAACATATAAAATCTCTGCATTCTGCCCAATGTGTTTGTGTGTTTCATATGGTTCTCACAATAAACAGCAGTTGTATCCGTAACTAGCATTAATCACTTTGGTTTTGTAGGGAGACATATTGTGTTTTCTGCGAAATACAAACTGAATTGTTGTATATTATTTGGAAGAAATTTAGTCTTTGAAGGGTTAAATTGAATTGCATATATGTTTGTAAAATATTTGAAGAACAATTCAACGTTTTTATAGATGACACGTTACCATATAATGGTTTACTATACTTAAGCATATTCCAGAAAGCAAAGACATGTCTCCTAGCATCAGTATGTCCAGTAATTCAGCCACAAACCTCAGTGAATTTTAACAATAACTGGAAGCTTTAAATAAAACTTGAGCAGTGATTTTGAATCATGTCAGTCAGTCATTATCTTTTATGCAGCTATATGAAATTTTTAAACATAATTGAAAAAATGTTTCACATAAGTAGTTGCATTATCAGTAGCAGCAGCACCAATAGCTGTTGAAGCAGTAGTGGGTGTCCACTTCCATGATAACATATAACATACTTGACAGTGATATGATGAAAGTAATTTATGCATGTTTCAGATTCCGATGTTGCTAGATGATTCCTCTGAACATATTTTAAATGACTCTACTGATGACCTGATGCAAGACAACTCATTACACGAAGACCTATTAGACCCCTACTCTGGTCTAGATGAGCTGGCAGATGTCGATCCCATGCAATGGGGTCCTGAAGCATTCCCAAATCTTGCTCCCTTGCCAGATGAACGTGGTATGTTCAGATGAGCCAAACTTGAACTGTTATTGTTCAGTAAATCTGTAGCCACATATTTTATATATATTTTTTTGTTAAGCAGTTGGTGATTCTAGCTGGAAACCCCATTATTAACAAGGCACAAATTAGTTAACCTTTCATCCTAATTTAAACAGATAGCTTAGTCAGTATAGTGACAGACTGTGGGTTGGATAGCCAGGGTTTTATTCCCATTAGAGGCAAGCAATTTTTCTTTATTCCACAGCATCCAGACTGTCTTTGAGGCTCACCCAGCCTCATATCCAATGGGTACTAGGGGCTCTTTCCATAGGGGCTAAAGCAGCCAGGGCGTCAAGGTGACCACTCATTTCCATCTAGTACATAGGTCAAGAATTGTGCAGCTATACCTCCACTCCTCCATATGTCTTCATGGCATAGTGCTTAATTAATTAAGCACAATGGCAATTTTACCTTTATATGTACATAAGGTTTCAGGTAAAGTAATTGAATGTGTTGGACAACAGTCACTGAAGTGTGCTAATCCAGCATAGTGGTCCATATCATATTTTGTGTTTTACAAGTAACCACACTTTTGTATTTTGTATGTAATTATAAAATACACGTTTTTAAAGTGCTGATCTTTTGGCGAAACAATACCTTGCATACACTGATGGTACTTTCAGGATGCCTTACATCACTTCTTTCCAGGGCTGTCCAAGAGAATAATGATTTACTTGAATCTCCCACATAATTTACATTGTGATACTTAGGCATTCATAAAATTAGTCTAAAGAATGTTGAAAACACTTTTATTAATAGTCAGTGCATAACTGAACCACACCCTGAAGAGTGTGATCATCCAAAGAATAGGGCTGTGCCATGGCTGTATGAAGCTGCAGAATACGTCCATCACAGTTTACACTGATATAACATGCAGTAGAAAACAAACTTTTCAGTTGGCACCAAAACAGTGAACACATATCATAACTCTTACTGCACTTTTGTAAAGTTAAACAATATTGTAGCATTTGTATTTAATATTACTTGAAATATATGGAAATGGAGCATGTTGTCCATAGATGAGATAAATGCCTCAGTTTTCTCAGTGCATCAGCATGGATATTTGACATTATTTCAGTGATTGTTATTACATGCCAGGAAGGAGTGACTCTTTCTGTAACTAGGAATGTTAGTCCAACATGTTTTTTTCGTACTCATTTAGTAGATGGTACCACATAATAGTTTTAATTTTTTTTTATGAAGATCACTGAAAGAAAGTGAAACTTTGATAAAGAAGAAGAAACATATTAGTTTATTAGCAGAAGGAGCTTATCTCAGAAATGAAAATATTTGTTTGCTGTTTCAGACTGCCAAATTAAGGAGGAGATAAAAATTGAGCCAGTCTCCCCAGTCACCATCCTACCTCCATCTCCGTCCCCGTCAAGTTCTTCTAGCTCAGATGCATGGATAGGGGGAGAGTCAGTATCAGAAGTGAAGGTGAATATGTAGAAACAAACAGAACGTTTTTTAATTTGTGATTTTCATATCATTATGAAAAATCTATTCATTGCTCCAGTTTCTTATTTGCACGCTTATCTTATAATAAGTTATAATTTATTTAGTCTTCAGGTGTAATTTGCACCCATGAGTTATTAAAAACTGATACCGATTATGTGAAAAATGAAGAAGTGTTATTTAGAGTCAGTGAGCAGAGGAATATCCTACATGAAATAAGAAAATGGAAGGCTAATTGGATTGGTCATATCTTATGCAGTAATTGCCTCCTAAAAGAAGTTATTGAAGGAAAGATAGAGGGGCGGATAGAAGTGACCAGAAGGTGAGGAAGAAGACGTAAGAAGATGCTGGATGACCTTGGGGACAGAAGAGGATATTCTCATTTGAAAAAGAAAGCTCTAGATCGCATTAAGTGGAGGAACTGTTTTGGAAGAGACTGTGGACCTGTCGTCTTGACAGATTACTGATGAATGAATGATGAATTGATATTTTTAAAAATGTTTAAGATCTGTGTTCTAAAGTATTACGTGTTGCGTGATGTTATAGTGTGTATAAGGAATTCCATATTAAACACTTGTAATTTCTAAGATAGTTAGAAACAACAAATCCTGAAGATTGGGATATGCAAACAATAGTTTTTCTGGTTGTTTTGTATAGGTGTTAAACACGTAGTCTTTATTTTGAGGACATATTTCAAATGTTGCACAGAATGCTTAGAATATACCTTTAATATTTGGAAGATATCTGTCCCATCTCCAGTCCAACAGTGTGCCCTGCTGAAGTGACATGGAATATGTCTAACATGGCCATTGAAGAGAGAATGATATAAATATATGTACTTATAAATATTTTAATGCTAGTGAACTATTTCCAGTTTGTGTTGGAAACACCACCCATCTCACCACCGCATTTGAGTGATGGAAGCCCGCCCAGTTCTCCTTGCCCAAATGGCAGTACTACCAACAGAAATCACGACTCTGTTGTAATGATGTCCCCAATTAAAATTGTGCCTGTGTCAAAGAATGGTAAGTAGAGAATGTTATTCCAGACCAACTGATCACTGCAAATAAGTGACAGACTATACCAATTTTAATTTTCATATATTTTCTCTATAAACAGGTCAAATCTGTGCAAAACCAGCAAGATTGGATTGCTGTTTCTGCTCTAGCATATGTAATTGAGGGTAGCTAATAAGCTTAACGGCCGGTCACAGTAGCCGAGCGGTCTAAGGCATGCACTGTCTTCGCTCACTTGGAAGCCGGGATCGTGGGTTCGAATCCCACTCATGGCATAGATGTTTGTGTGCGTTTTTCTGCGTTTGTCTACAGGCAGAGGCCTTGCGACGAGCTGATCACTCGCCCAAGGAGTCCTACCGTATGTGTAAGATCTAGAAAAACCGAAGTGAACGGAGTTCATGGAGGTAGGCCTAGGCCCACGGGGGCTGTAGTGCCAAGGAAAGAAAAAAGTAAACTTAACACATTTGCTTTTGAAAGTTGACTTTGTTGTTTAAAGCTGCCTTGTTCACTATGTACAAACATACTGTGCAATTTATATCTAAATATGTGGTAACTATAGTTCTTTATTGCATGCATATGTATATATGAGTAGGAAGGAGAATTATTATGTATTGCTAATTATCTTGTTGGTGTAATTGTACCTGTAACATTGAATCTATTTAATTGAGGTATTCAGTTTAGTTTTTAACTATGGTCGAATTTATGTCTCTGCGATTTTATCTCGTGATTGTTGTTTGACAAGTTTTATATTCAGTGCCAGTTACACATTTATGAATACTCTGAAATGCTAATGTATGTATGCATGTATGTATGTATGTACTGTCACAAGGGATAACTAGGACTATTATTTTGGACTTTGTGATCACTAGATAATGCATGTAGCTAGGTTTTGCAAGTTCTTTGACATATGTAGATAGTTTACTGTGTATTTCTCTACTATGAAATATTGCTAGCTGCCAGTGTATTGTAGAAAATAATGAACTGAAATGTAAGCCAGATGTAGAGGGGCAAGGAGTGAAAGTGATAACATGGGTTTGTGACAGGTGTTAAAAACATATTTTATACACTAGACAGACATGTTTCATACCAGCAGATTTAATTAACTAGGAAGCAGCAAGCTAAATGTGAAATTTGAGGTTATTGCAATGGTGAGTGTAAAGATTAATATTTTTATGGATGTGATGCTGTGTAGACTGGAGATGTTTACCAACATTAAGGATTCTTTGGGGTTAAAGGTGGAGGCAGCATGTTCCTCCAAAGCACTTGTAATGTTCCATCAGACTGCATGGCATCACATCCCAGAAGACTGTGATTTTCAGTGCATTAAAAATTGCACACCCGCAAACATGTAAAACAACAGGTAATATAATAAGTAACATTTCTGTATTTGACTAATAAGTAATTTCTGGTAGCATTACCAAGGGTTATGCCACAAATGCTAAAGTCTTCTGTTGGGCACAATTTTGGATCATTTAAATCCAGTTACCATCATAGGGTATTTATGTAAGTTAGCTCATATTGTCGTGCCTCCTCAACTTTCCAAGTGGCCACTTCCCAAGATGCTGTAACATTCTGTATGAATTTCTTGTTTCATGTAACTACTAAGGTTGTTAGGTAAGCTGTATAAATCCATGTTTAATTGTTGGTCAATTTGATTTCTTGCAGGTATAAAGGTAGGAGGCGGCACAAAAATTATGATAACACAGCAGGCAGCAAATTCAACAAAGAGCATAAACATTCAACCAAAACCTGAACCAGGAATTAACTCAGCATTACCTGTTGTGACTGTCCCAAAAATTAACAAAGGTAGGTTCACTGGTTGTGAAATCTGCATGTTCATTTGCTGGAAATACACAGGATTGTGAAGTTTGTGGGTAGAAAAGAAAAATACTTTTAGGTGTGTTCAAAAGTGACAAAAACTACCATATTTGAAAATCCAGTAAGGGTCATTATGATTAGATACTTATTAGAAGTCAATATATTGATGTCTTTATTGCATGGAGCCAGTTACCAGGACCATTAAATTTCTTACCGAGGTGACCAGTAACGATGCATGTGGGGGGGGGAGAGATATCTCTCTTTGTAGAAAGTACAATAGTTCTATTTGTCCATGCATCATTAAATCGTCTCATACCCCATAAGAAACCTAGGAATTGGTACAATGTCACTATCATAGTTAGAGCTGTAATATTAAAACATAAGGCAAGTTTATTGCAAATGTTTCTGTACGTACATAAATTGTATGCTTTCATTGTTATACAAGATTAAGTGTAAATGTGAGTGATACATTACCCAGGTTGGGCTCTTTCTATGTCTGATGCTGTCATTGTCTAGTCATTATACATCAGACAGTAGTATGATAGATGATTTGGAAAGAATTTTGAAGTGATCATGACCTAATCAAGGTACTCTCCCAGAATTTGCTTGGAGGAACAGGAAAACCACAAAAGAACCTCAGTCAGGATTGCCACTGTCCCAGCTGAGATCTGAACTGATCACCTCCCCAGTACAGGTTTAGAATGTTACTGCTCTGTCAACCCAGTCAGTTATTGAGCTTCATGCACATAAGGTAAATGCATTATAGTTGCATGTTGTGATGTAAAAAATGGTTGATTGCTTTCACCATTACGGTTGAAGTACTTTCCATAGTGCTTACCTTTGGAACTTCATATCATAAAACAGTTGATATGTTACAAGTCAGTAAAATCATTCTGTATGTACGCTATATGAGGTACAGTCATTGCTAAATAATCTGGAGATTAGTAATACATTCAGAAAATTCTATATTATGATTGAATGAATGTATAAGGGGTGGGCCTTCTTGGCCCTTGCACCATGACCACAGTGATCTATTGTGCCTGGAAATTCTATATTAAGGGGATTCTGCTGCGGATCATACCTTCTTGTGCCACCAGGCAGATAATGCTTTTTGCTGTTGGGTCCTAGGAAATCTGTGAAAGCGCATTAAAAGGTTATTTTATTTGTTACCTGTAAATACTGACAAAAAATGTCAGTGTTAGGTCTTTTGAGCAGGTTTTGTAAAAGGCAGGAAAACTTTTGACCAGCTGAATGACTATCAGTTTATGAAGAAGAACTTAGCCCCGTGGAATTGGGTGGTTGGTTACTTTAATTACAATATGGCAGACTTTCAGAGTAGTATTTCTTGTAAATATCATTTTAATTTGACCTATACAGTGTTTGTGTCACTGATACTATAAGTGTTTTAGAAAAGAATAATCATGTGTATTTTCTAGTTTACCTATATTATTTAATGGATTGGTGACCTGAAACACAGTTGCAATAAATATAGTAAGATATCACATCCATTATATAAACCTTAATACTGCAAACTGGGAAATATATGATGGAGAAAATGTGTTGCAGACCATCTATGTAAATGAAAAGCACAGTTAAATGATATCAGTGAGAATATAAGCAAAAAAGACTGCCTTAGTTTCAGAGTGTGTGCTGCAAGGTATGTGAAAACAGGCGGTCACATAATTTACAAAATACTGTTGCATGTTATATGCAATAACAGTATTTAATTATACAGTGCGTGCTATAACATTGTTATCTTATGTTGAGACATACCAGTGATTTTGTTCCATAATATAAAAGAATCATCCTTCAGTATACCCTGGCACTTAGACCAACTGGTGGACGGTGACTCTTTAAACAGCAGCTGTTGCTAGATAAGATGCACAAGGATAGAACAACGATGTTATGCAACCCATTTCTAAACAGTGGATTGGTAAACATGCACCTACAACAGTAAGGTTATTATTGGAAATGGTGTTTTTGATCTGTGCAAAATGGTTATATAATGGTTATATAGAGAAGAGATGGTGCTGCAGTTCGGTTGAGGGTTTGCAGTTTAGTTGAGCCCTGCAAGGGAGTCTGAGAAGAGATTGTGCTATAGTTGAGCGAGCTGGTTGAGTTCTGCACAGGCCTGAGTGCAGGAAGCTGAAGAACCTCCACTGTTAGAAGCCATTGCCAGGGAATGGCTGATGAAGGCACAGCAGGTTGGAAAAAGGCTTAGTGGGTGCTGTGGTGTTTTGTGAATTGTGGAGATTAGCAATAGCACTGCAATTACTTGTAGTTCTTAGTGGTGTGTATAAGTGATCAATAAATCGATTCACCAATCCGAACTCCATCTATAGTCACACACTCAAATTCGTAACAATACTTTTGTGTCCCTCTAGTGTATTTTTGTGTCCATGCTTGTGTTATTAGCAGTATGTATACATTATTAAAGCCGTATTGTTGTTTTCTGTATTATTAGAGTTTTATTTAATTTGAAATTCTCAGTCATCAAGATAACTACTGAAAGTTAGAACCTTTTCATTGTTCGTTTGTAGTCCATTGTAGAAGAATATTTGACATGATAAAGTGTCTGTGGTGTGAAAACTAAACTACAAAGGTGTAGAGATTTCAAGCACTATGCTTATTGAGTTTTATGTTTACATCGATATATTCTGATTCACTAAACCTTTGATTTCCGACAGACACAAGGACGATAGTATTGACAGCAGATGACTTTGCAGCTTTAACAAGACAGGTAAAAAGTCAGTCAAATGGCACAAGTAAGAGTCCTCCAACTGTGAGGATACAGGCTTTACCTTCAAAACAGTCACAGTCTAAGCCACAAATGCTGGTGAAAGGGCAACCTCAATCAAATCCTACGACAGCTTCAGTCACGATACCGGTACAGCAACCAGTGGCTAACAACAAAGTACCAATAATGAAGAAACCTGTCACTGCAGCTGTAACCAATATTTCTGCAACACCAGTTGTAACTACAGCTCCGCCACCTGTGAAACGTGTTCCTCAACCCATTCCAGGGAGGCAAGATTTGGAGGTCAGTTTACCATGTTTTTCTCATTATACATCTACTCCTACCCCCTATTTAATTTGTGGTTTACTTAAGGACTGCTGTCTGTATTTCAGACAACGCAGTGTCAAATGATAGGATGATTACAACTTAATGAAGTGGAAAGGAACACTCTTAGCTAAATTTGAGTTACTATACTAGCGTTTGCAGGTCACGGTAACCAAGTAGTCTAAGACGTGTACTGTCTTTGCTCACTTGGAAACCAGGATCGTGGGTTCAAATCCCACATAAGGCATGGATGTTTTGTATGTGTATGTATTTATTCTGTGTTTGTGTTGTCCTGTATTTAGGTGATGAGCTGATCACTACTCCAAGGAGTCCTACCGTCTGTAAAATGATCATGAAACTGAAAATTAAAGGCCAGGGCCCATGGGGGCTGTAGAGCCAGTAAAAAAAAATACTAGTATTTGCATCAAGGGAGTGGGCAAAGCAATGGAAACTTGAGTCAGAATGGCTGATCTCCAGGCTGGGGATTTTAACCCAGGACCTCCCAAATACCTAAGAGGGATACTGCTCGCTTAATTTCTATAGTCATGTCCTTTGTGAAATGCTTGACTGTTATCTTCCTTCAGAAATACTATAAGGAAAGGCATATATAACAGCACTTCTGCCACTGCTTAATGTGGTAAATATGAACACATGCATGAAGTATAAAGTAAGGTAAAGGTGAAGTGGAGTTGCCCCTATGCATAATTAAGCACATTACCATGATAAAAGATAAGTGAGTGGAGGTATGCCGACACCATTCTTAACATCAAAACTAGCTGGAAGTGAATGGTCAGCTTCATGCTTCAGCTACTTTACTCCTGGACAAATAGCTCTGGCACCCATTATCTAGGAGGCAGGATGGCCCCCAGAGTCAGTTCAGATGCTGTGGAGAAGAGAAGAATTTCTCGCCTCCTCTGGGAATCAAATTGTTATCACCCAGCCCATAACATGGTCGCTGTACTGACTGAGTTATCCCGGCTACTTTGAAAACAAAGTGGTCAGGAAAATATTTGAGGATCTAAGAGGGATGAAGTATGTTGGAGGTTGTGTTAGGCTGAACATGTAATTCATGTGAGGCAAATAAGACATATATATGTATATGTGTGGTATTTATATGGAGTAACCACATGAAAAAATTGTGAGGAGGGGAGGTGAGTAGGAGTGACTGAGAATTGTGTCTGGTTGGGCTTGTTTGTTAATAGTGTTGCACCTTCATATTCTACTACAGAAGAATTATTGTAGGTTATGAGAATAATTTCCTCTGAAGTTGATGTATCCACTGCCTACTGGTTAAGACTCGATCTGCGGTTTCCATTAATTAATTGAGTAACTGTATAAAATTGTCTATTTGCACAAAAATAAGCATTTCTGATATTGCAGTTTATTTTTACAGATGTTTATATTAATTTCAAGTTAAACACTTACAGTGCAAGGCCTGAATGACAATATATGAACTCAGGTACCATCCCTATCAGTGTTTCTAGTAAGTGCCACTTATTCAGTGTTGTCATCTCACCTAAAATGGGGGATACTATGTCTGTGTGTGATTTGAATTATTTGTACAATTATATAATGCATATTATATCATAATTTTCAGATGAAGGCAATAAAAAGACAGCAGCGAATGATTAAAAATCGTGAATCGGCTTGTCTGTCAAGAAAGAAGAAAAAGGAATATGTAACATCTCTTGAAAATCAGATCTCTGAGCTTCAGCAGGAAAATGTACAACTTAAACTAGTAAATATTCTCTTTCTATCCAAATTACGGTATTGTAAGTAATAAATCAGACAGAAGAGACAGTCAACAGTAATTCTATCACCATTATGAACATAAAGTTTTTTCTCACACAGAAAAACATGTTGTGTATTGCGCAGGGAGCTGGCCTGCCAAATATGTAGCGCTGTAATATTGATTTATTTTGTTTTGAGAAATACCATAGCAAGAAGTAAATGTAAGAAATTGACATCTTAGATGTGCAGTTGAAACCAAATATATGTGTGAGAGAATGTGTGTTTATGTGCATCCAGGTATGTGTGCCTGTTTGCATGTTTCCACATGCTAGGATAAAATATTGCTTTGGTATGAAAACTCATAATGTGATGAATTTTGGACAGTATATAATTGCCATGTAACTAGTTCAGTCTGTTTTTCCTTGGAAAAGTTAAGCTCATGAGATTGCCAAGCTATCTCTGTTGTCACCCCTTTCAACTTTGGAGGCACTTAACTGGGTTTTATGAAACTGAACATGAATGTGATGCCACAGGAGGCCACCTCAGCTGATACTTTTTACTTTTACTCGGTTATGACAGTGTGTAGAAGTACTGACTTTTGAGATGAGGACAGCACTAGCAAAACTTGCCATATTTACTGGCATAATTTACGCTAACTAAAGTAACTTCATGGAGCTGATCCCTTCTTGAGAAGCTGCTAATTGTACAGCTACTCAAGAGCTTTCTAGCAATTTATGGATCCCAAAGGTTCATTACCATGTTCACAAGAGCCCTCCACTGGCCCCTGTCCTGAGCCAGATCAGTCCAGTCCATACCATCCCATTCTCTCTCTCTGAAGATTTTAATATTGTCCACCCACCTATGCCTTGGTCTTCCTAGTAGTCTCTTTCTTTCTGGCTTTCCCACCAATATCCTGTATGCATTCCTCTCTCTCATTTGTGCTACATATCGAACCCATCTCATCCTCCTAATTATGCTTGGCAAAGAGTACAAGTTATGAAGCTCATCATTATGCAGTTTTCTCCAACCTCCTGTTACTTCATCTCTCTTTAGTCCAAATATTCTCCTCAAACACTCTTAGTCCGTGTTCCCCCTTAATGGCAGAAACCAGTTTCACACCCATACAGAACCATGGGCAAAATTATAATTTTGTATATTCTAATTTTCATGTTTTTAGGCAACAGATAGAAAGACAGAATGTTCTGGACTGAATGGTAGCAAGCATTACCCAAATTCAGTCTCCTCTTAATTTCCTCCTGAATCAGGTTTTGATATTTTATTATCATTGTTCCCAAATATCTGAACACTGTGACATTTTCAAAACGTCTGTTAGCTGTCTTTGTGTCATGATTTTGCCCTGCATTCTGGTGATGAGACAGCAACATATACTTAGTTTTCTCAGCATTTACTTGTAGACAACCTCCTTGCTAGTGTCAGTTAAAGTTTCTGTATTTTGCTCTATGGTATCTATATTATCTTCCAACAGATTATATTTTATTCACCATACCTTTCACACATAATTTTTAAGGTGTAAAAATTCTAAAATTACACAAGTAAATAATGATAATGTAGAGTCCCGAAGCTGTGTATGGTAAGTGATTTTTGAATATGTGCAGTTTTTGTCAGGGTTTATGGAGCTGGGTAAGTGTTAAAATACAATATTTTTGCATCCATATGAACAGAGCTCTATGTTGAAATGACAGAGATCTACCAGCTTCCTGTTCCTTTCTCTGTTTTAGGAAAATATTGCATTGAAAGAAAGACTGACACTATACGAAGAAAACTCAACATGGAAAAGACCAGGAGTTTTGAGTAGTAACATCAGGAAAACCACAGCTATGTTAGCTGTGCTGTTTGTGGTCTCAGTCAATCTTGGCTCCTTTGGGTAAGATAGGCATTATAGCTTAGCAGTACCATCCATGCATAACAGTCTAAAGCTTGCAATTCTGTTGTTATTCTTTCCTTATATAGAAGCCATTGTTTTTAGTAGTTGTGCATAGGACCACCAGTTGGCAGTAAAAATATGTTTGTTCTTCAGTCTCAGCCATAGCAGAGACATTACTGATAGCATACATATTCACTGGAATTGTAATTTAATGTAGTGTAACGTAAATTTAAGGGTTATCTGTGGAAACTAGCTAGAGACCACTAGATCATCAAAGCACAACTTTTATTATTGAATATAGTGATCTAGTGGTTAGCACCCCTTATTCATGATTCATTTTAAGGAGGTCCTTGGTTCAGATATCAGCTTAGAGACCTGCAATCATGACGTTCTTCGTGGTTTTCTTCAGTTGCTCCATGCAAATGCCTGCTATGGCTATTTATTTTCTCGATCTTTCCTGTTTATCATTCGTGGTTATCTTACCCTTTTATGCTACACAAAATGTTGTTTAAAGATTGTTGTCAAATCAGACTTTTATTATATTTAATACTGAAGGCACATGCTATAGTGCAAGTGACCAGATAACCTCGATGTTACGTCTTTAATTAGATTTTGAGTAGAACAAACCGTATGCTGTCAGTAGGAACATTAGCGTACCACATTACTTTGTTACCTGTTATAACTAATGTTTGCTTTTATTCTTTCAGTGGTCTTTTCCACAGAGGGCCTGATCCATTTGTAGAACTCCAGGGTTCTCCTGCATCACAGAAATTACCTAGTGCAAGACATGGACGGTCACTGCTGTGGACAGATATGGACAGGAAGAATTTACCAGCCATAGAAGATCCATTTAGTGATATAGACTCAATTTCAAATTCATCAAATATACATCCAACATGCCCAATGTTTATCAATCAGACTGAATCCATAAGGTAACATGAAGTTCTTTACATGCCTAAATGAATCAAGTCCCTTCAGCTGTCTTTCTGGAACATTTCATAGTGTCTGAGCTGTCCAGTTATTTGATATTAACAGAGTCTGAAATCCACACTGTCACCACCAGTGACCAACATTGAACCTTGTCCTGAGCCATTTTGGTCTATTTCCTATCCTCACAGCATAATTCTCTTAAGATTTTTTTTTTGTGCTGTCTCCTAAAGTATCTGATCTGTGTTCTGTATAACAAATAAATACAAGGGCTTTTTTTAAAGTAACATGCAGTGATCTGTTAACAAAATAAACAATGAAAAAATATTATATACAACAAATACATACGAGTACATACTTAAACTGCTCAGCATAGTCGCTTGAGGTACTTGTCATATTGGGGAATAAGTTTTTGTTTGCCTGTGTCAAAAAAGTATGCCGCCTGTGAGCTCAGCCACGATTTGACACCTTCCACCAAGTCCTCATTGAAACAATGTGATTTTGACCAATTTTTCAAGTAGGCAAACAGGTGAGAGTGAGATCAGGGCTGTAATGAGGAGGGTGGTCAAATCCCCCCCCCCAGCAGTTGAAATGCTCCAGCAGTGCTGGAGTGCGAGCATCTGACTTGTATGTAGATGCGCATTATCATGGAGGAGCATTACACCGGATATCAGCATTCCACACCTTTTGTTCTGAATGGCCATATGCAGGGTTTTTTAGGTGGGCGCCCTTTCCCTAACCCAGAAAACAGTTGCCATCAGCTTTCTGGTAGACAATGTCTGTTTAAACATTTTAGGCTTCTTTGGTGAATGTGTGCACATCTACTGCTGTGTCTGTTCTTTGGTTTCAACGTTCACAAATGAAACTCAGGTTTCATCACCCATTATTTGTGTGATGTTATTGAGAAATTCATCGCTCTAAAGAAAGTCAAAGTCGAAGCTATTTTCTGCATTTTTGTGCACCTGTAAGCATATTTGGAACCCATCTTGTGCAAAACTTTTGATAGTGTAGCCTAACTGTGATAATTTTATAGAGAAGAGTGCATGGAATTTCTGGAAATTCACACAAAAGTTCTGAAATTATTAATCACCTTCTTTCACACATATTTGCTCAACAGTTTGAATAAGATGATCACTCATTACAGATGACTGACCACCTCAGTCTTCATCACTACCATTTGCCTGCCCATCTTTGAACATGCTACACAGTTCCTTCACTCTTACATTTTTCCCATAAACCACGCATAATTCACAATGGATTTCCACAGTACTCATGTTTTAGCATGAAGAAAGCAGATAGCAGTGCTAAGTTTGCAACTGGTTGGATTATCAGTCACAAGACACATCATAACTCACTTTGCAGATGTAACGCTACCTTGCATGCATGAGCTCTCCCCTGCTCTTACATAGGTAAAGGTAAAGCTGTCCCTGTGCTTAACTAATTAAGCATTAGACTATGGAGGCATATGGGAAAATGGATGTATAGATCCACATTTTCTTGACCTCAGCACTAGTTGGGGGTGAGTGATCAGCTTCACGCCCCGGCCGCTTTACCCCCGGGGAAATAGCCCCAGGTACTCATCGGGTAGGAGGTTGGGTGGACCCCACAGCCGGTCTGGACAACGTGGATAAGAGAAAATTCTTGATCCTACAGGGACTCGAACTCCCACCCCTTGATCATCCAGCCCGTAGCCAGTCGCTATACGACTACACTATCCCAGCTTCTTCTGCTCCCAGATTATATGCCTAAAATAAATGGAGATTTAGCCCTCATACATAGAATGAGAGAAACATTCTTGTAAACATAAATGACAAATGTAGGTTGATCAGTTTATATTTGCTAGATAAAGTAATACTGAGAGTAAGTATTGCAGTAATTCATGTCCAGTGTCTGCTAATGTTAAACTTTTGGGGGAGTAGGAGACATTTGAAATAACATTGTAACTTGGTAGAACTGCTGGACTTTGTTCCACATGTACCTTACAGCTTTTTGAAGGTTAGGTATCTTTTCTTTTGTGTGTGTGCATACACATGCTTGCACATACTTTGTGCACATTCAACTTCCAAAGGGGAAGTACAATACGAGTAAATCGAAGGTCGCAGTGCAAGGCCGGTTTTGATGTGTCACCCCTCATAATCATACTCATTGTACACACTAAGATGTGTAAAGTAAGTAAGTAAAGCTATTCCTGTAACAGGCTGTGGAGGCCCATAAGGTTGTGAGATGTTGAGGCTCCCACATTATCTAGACAGTCGGCTCAAAGATGGCGGCAAGTTTGTCAGCCTTACGCGCCAGCCGCGCTTTACTCCCCAGGAAAATTATTTAATTAATTCCTGGTACTCATTTCTGTTAAGAGGCTGAGTCAACCCCAGGGCCGTAGTGCGGCTGGAAGGATTAGGTCAAGTGATAAAAATCCAATGACCTCATCAGGACTTGAACCTGCGACCTTCCGGCTTGTAGCATAGTGCCTCAACCAACTACGCTCAGATTTGTAATAAAGATAATTACAAGGATAAACTAAGACATTACAGATTTTGCAGAACCATATCACAAAGACATCGTTGAAAGTAAATTATGTTTTCAGGAAAGCATCTTGGTTGTGAAATCATGCAGCAGGTTACTAGCTGTGTGCCTTTAAAAAATTAAAAATAAATTGATTGATACATGCTCACTTGAATGTTTCATAATTTTAGTACTATTTTAACACTAATCCCGAGACATCATACATCAAGACGGCACTAAATTTGTTGAATACCTGAGAAAAATGTAGCTATGGAAATCCAGACGTCTGCATGAAATTGAACTCACTCACTCACGTGCAACCTGAGAATAAATCTGAACAATTTGTAACTTTATGTAATTTTGATATTAACATCATGATTCTGGATAAGAAAACTGTGCTATCATAATAGTATAGCTTCTCATTCATGTTGTTTGAAATTTTACCATGTGCCATGCCATAATATCACTGAAGTATTTGTTTTCAGTTCCCCCTAATTATGAATATATCTGTTTTTTCATATACAGATTAGATAGTGAATTACGCCGCTGGATTGGAGTGGATCTTGAGTCAGAGAAATTGACAAAGCAGCCAGAACCAGAACTTAAGTCTCTGGGTGAATTATTATTGCCTTTGCCAACCACAGAACTACCATCCCGCAAGTTCAAACCAAAGAGAAAAATACGAATGTAAGTTTGAGTGACAAGAAATATGCAGTAGCATTTTCAGTATTGTACATAAAAGGCATATGGATTTAATGAAGTCTTTGCAAGACTGAGATAATGGATATATATATATATATATGTATATATAAAGGAAACAAAATGAGAAAGTTTACACCTCAAATAGGGTATTTTCAATGTAGTAGGTTGTATGTATCATAATTAAGCTTGAAAACTTTAATTTTTGGCAATATGCAATGGTACAGCTCACTCAAAATTGGAGTGTTTGTATTTTCAAAGTGTATTCTTTGCAATTTATATGCCTCATTTTTGTTGTTCTTGTTCTTAATTGTGATGCAGTTTATTTATTTATTTAATTTTGTTTATGTAAATCAGATTTACAACAGTATACAAGTGTTTGTCTGGTAAGAGTGTTGAATTAAGTCAATATGTGAGATTTGTTGTCTTCTGGGTTATTACATTGTAATCTATGTAGTTGTCAGTGTTTTGGAGGAATATGATGCCTGCATTGTCAGTGTTGAAGTGTACCTCATTTAGATTTTGTTCTGAATTGTGACAGTGGGCAACAGGTGCCTCTGAAACATTGGTAACCATGTATCAGACTACATAGTGTTGTAACCCAGTAGGTCAGACCATCCTCAAATATTTACCATATTAACCTGAATATGAGGTGATGTTTCTTTTTTCAAATACTGCAGCCTAGAAAAGAGTGGTTGCCTTATTTTTGGGCCCTTAAGAGTATACAGTAAACCCTCATGACAAACTAATAAAGGAACAGGTGTCTGTTATCGGTGATGTCTGCTATAACCGACCGAAGGGGTATTCATGGAAGTACACCATAGGCTGCATGGCCAGTTCATGCAATAAACATAAAAAAAAGTGATTACATAAAGGATTTTACGTTGGGGTTCTTTATTATATTTAATATTTTTGTTCATTATATCCAAAATCCTTTATATCTGGGTTCATTATGAAGGTTTACCGCATATGAAAACGAAGATTATAAGGAGTGAGGAGTTATAATTGTTAATTTTAATATTTGTGCAAGTACAAAGAATTATATTTAATGTGTTAAATGTTGAATTTATTATTTTTTATAGGATAGTTTTTACTTCCGTTTGCTTACGGCCCTCAGAACTGCATGATGTATTCAGTTTTGCCACCCCCCACCCCCAAAAAAGCTCTATGATTTTTTCATTGGAAAAATAGGGGTCACTTTATATTCAGGTATTTGTGTTTTTCTGCATAGTTGAGATTTTTTCCTCTCATAAATCCACAGTTCACGTAAACAGCCAGCTGTCAGCAATGAAGTGGAAGTGTACGGCTTAAGACCTCAGCAGTATAATTATGCTGCCTTCTTTGAGGCAATACATAGAAGGGATGATACATTTTATGTGGTATCCTTTTCTGGAGATCATCTCCTTGTGCCAGCTCTTGCACATAACAAGACAGTACGACCGAAGATGTCATTGGTTCTACCTGCATTACCCATCAACGGTAAGAAAGTATGACAATTTGAATTATTTTTTAAGCTTTTCTAAGAAAATCGTTCCCATTAGGAGTATGAATTTAAATTCAAGGTAAGAGCACATACTCTTATCTTCATTTTTAAAATCAGTTAATAAATGATTTAAATTGATTGAATGCTAAATATTTGTTAACTGTGCTATAAAGTTGCCAGTGCCCCCTGCATTATGTCCAAAAATGTTTTGTAACTCCTGCACACTTTCCACTGGGCAAGAAAAGTTCAAAACATTTTCTAGTGAAGTGAATGAAATGTAGGCTAAGCTGCAATACTTAAGTGATTAGGAGGATTTATATAGGTTCCTTTTTTCTTTGACACTGCATTCAATGAGAAGTTGCATAGTATAGCTAGATTGGCATATAAAAAATCATAGGAAATTGCATCTCTAGGTTATCGTGTGGCTCATTCATTGTTATATAACCTCTAAGCTGAAACAGTATCATTGAATAATTTAAGACTCAATCAGCAAAAAAAGTTGTATTCTTAAGTGTCAACCATGCTTCAAAATTATCAGCACAGTAGTCACTCATTTTCAGTATGAAAGTATATTCCTCTTATTCCTGAATGTACGAGTTCTTTTCCCTTGATAAAAGTTCACAAGGCAGAAGAATAATTAGTGTTGTCCTTCCATGATAATCTCTATGAATTCTTTTACTGACAAGTTTCATGCCCTTTCCTTCCACACATACAGGGTGTGGCAGCATAATTTGCTGATTTGAATTTGGCGCCAGGAAGCGAGGTTTGGCCATTAGAGGGTGCGGATGGTCTCATTCGAACAGGTGGGTCGGGAAGTTTGTTCTTCCTTCCACTTTAGTACCGAGAATGCGTTGGACGAAGGAACAGCGCATGTTTGCCGTAGAGGCTTACTTTTCTAATGGTCGCTCGATCGTCGCCACGCAGCGAGCATTCCGTGCGCACTTCAATATTTCCGCCCGAGCTCGTGTTCCTGGTCAGCATTCGATTGTTACATGGGCAAACACATTCAGGAGAACTGGCAGTGTGGAAAAAAGAAGATCAGTGGAACGGCCTGTCAGATCACCCCAAAATATTGAGGCGGTAAGGCAGTCTTTTTTGGGATCTCCTTGGCGCTCGGCACGCAAGCATTCAGCTGCCCTTTGAATGTCTGATCATTCTGTGAGGCGAATTCTTCATGATGACCTCCACTTTCATCCTTAAAGTTGGCTGTGGTGCAAGAACTTACTGAATGTGATTTTGCTGCTTGGCAACATGCATGTGAAGCGTTCCTTGAAACTTTGCCTGATGATGCGCTTGTGTTCTTTAGTGACGAGGCTCATTTCCATCTTTCTGGATGCGTGAACAAGCAAAACGTGCGCTACTGGACTGATAACAATCCCCGAGAACTTCATGAGAGGCCCCTTCACTGTGAACATGTAACTGTTTGGTGTGCACTGTCGAGAGTAGGGATTATTGGTCCCTACTTTTTTGAAGAGAATGAGGTTGCAGTTACAGTGAATTCTGTTCACTATGTGAAAATGATCAAAGAATGTTTTTTTGCCAGTCTTGACAAAATGGATGTTGGGGATGTGTGGTTTCAGCAGGATGGAAACACAGCACACACAGCACAAACTGCAATGTGTGTTTTGCGGGAACACTTCCCTGGGCTCCTGATTTCTTTGAGGGGTGATCTTCAGTGGCCGGCGCACTCACCCAATGTAGCCGCTTGTGACTATTTCTTAAGGGGGTATCTGAAATCCCTCATATACACTGATCGTCCAAAACCCTTGCTCAACTGAAGGAGAATATTCGCCAAGCCATAGCCAACATACCCATCGCTAGGCTGGAAAGAGTCGACCGACACTTAAGAATTCAGGCAAATCAGTGTATTGCCAATGGGGGGCGCCACTTGTTGGATACAATTTTTAAAACAGAGTAAACGTAAATTTCCAATGTTGTAGAATATGGAGAAAAAATAATTACGATAACTATAACATCTTTTGTTTTATTGACCCTTCAAATCAGCAAATTATGCTGCCGCACTCTGTACATATGTACTTATATATTATACCAGTTTTATGAATTGTTATGTTATTGCAGAGTCAATGACAGCACCCCCAAACCACATTACAATGATGCAAATAGACTGTGACGTAACAAACACACAGTTGCTTCATGTCAAGAAAGGAGATATCCCAGCTCATTTGAGGCAGAATGACACAGGACACTACTCCAATACCACAGCTTCAAATAAGCCAGACTCTAAAGATCAAACCGATGATCATTTTACAAATGAGAGTCATCGTCCATCCATGTCCAGCTCCCAGACTTATCGGCCATATTTTGTGAAGCCAAATCACAAGAAATTTATAAACAATGGTGAGTTTCCCAATGAATCCAAACTTGGTGTTGAATTTGATAACCCTAATTCATATAATATCACCAGTCAGAGGAGAGGAGACCTCAGTAATGTACTATATGCTAAAGAGTACACAAAAAGAGGACCCTAGATTTGCAATTATTTATAGAATGTTATATTTCTTAAATATGTGGTGTATTGTACAAAATTTTCATACTATAACATCCCAGATTGAATTATCCAGTATAGAAGTAATAATTTAACCGGCATTCTCAACTATAGTAATATTATGTTAATTTATGATAGCAGGCTGTCAGTCTTACTTGTGTGGTTTATAGACATTGTATCATTAAATGTGAAATTTGTATTTCTGCTAGCACTGTTCATAATTATATATAATAATTAAATTTGTAAAAGAATAACAATGATGCAGTGAATTATTTTGATTACCGAATAGACAGAAGTCTCCCAAATTAAAAGGGAAGAAACAGCCTATAACAAAATATGGGCAATTTTTACAATAACTCTTTCTCACATCACACTAGGCTTTGTCAGTAGATGGAAAAGAATTTAAAGACCTCTGTAATTTTGTAGTGTGTTCTAATTTTAACTCATTATAATTTTCTGTGAGATTGAAACTTCAGTCTTAGAACTGATAATTTATTCTGAACTATTCTTTTAATATTTGGAAGCAATGAGATGAGATAAAATAGGCATACAATCCACAGGAACTCCTGGTGTTGTTTCAAACAATAATTTTACATTCCTGCTGAACACAGGTTGCATAAGGACCGAAGGAAAATGCCTCTTTTTCATGCCTTAATTAGTACACTTTTTGTCCAGTTAAAGATTTAATCTTATTACTGCTCATAATGTGTTCTGAAACAGTTATTTGTTATCAGTTCTTCTTTAGTCTTTTGTGTACTAAATAATGAAAAATATGATAAAATACTATAAATAGTATACACTGCTGGACATCATTAGCATGGATAATGGATAGTCTCCTCTCCACTTTTATTCATGTAAAATGTAATATTAATTGAAAATAGTGCTATATTCGGACATTACTGATAAAAATGCCTCTGTTCTGATTTGAGTCAAATAATCTGATTAAAATGGTTGGTACTGAGCAAGTTGCCTTGAGCAGTAACAGATGTTAACTTGTGTTCAGGAAGTACTAGATTCAAAACTAGGCCAGTACTTGAACTATCCTGACTTAGATTTTTCTTGATTTTCTGAAGCACCTATAGGCAGAATGCCAGGATGTGCCTCACCTTAGATCATGGTCATTTTCTTTGACATACTTTGCAACTCATGTTCCCCGGTCCTTGTACAATTAAAGACTACTTATGATAAATATCAAACACTATTCCTGCATAGCAACAACCATAACAAAGTGTCACCATTACTAACTTTAATGGTAACAGCAAATTAATCTTGTAAAAGGATTATTAGACCTGGTATAAAATCTCAGCTCAGAGATAAGCTGTGCTGAGTGAGGTTTTCCTTTCAGGAACTGGGATAGTACCTTAAAATAGTTGCATCTCCCCTGTGTTCCACATCATTTCGAAGTCCTCATTGTTTTTTGAAAATAACATTTGGAATTGCAATTAATCAGATGTATTTTCAGTTTGTTTACATTGCAGTTTAAGTTAGTATCATCCTATAAATATAAATACAGTTCTGAAGTGACTATGGTTAATACTTCTCAAAGCATAAATTAAAAGAAATTCTCTGAACATATTACATAAATGTTTATGTTAATATAAGTTTAAGAAAGTATTTATATGATTTGATTGTAGTTAGTATTAAGTGCTTCAAACATACTGAGACCAAATTCATTTATTATTATTATTATTATTATTATTATTATTATTATTATTATTATTAATTATTGGGGGGGGGAACATGAAGAAATGAAGTAAATACATGTCCAGTAGATATGCCTGGTGGTTTCTGATGTTTCAGTAGTTTTGGACCAGTAGAATAAATGTTGTAAGGTACCATATAACTGGAAACAGTACATCTTTTGGTGTAAGAAATTATTGAAGAAAGTGCTTGTATCTTGAAATAACGTACTTCAGATGATCATGTCAGACTCCCACTGTTTCATACAGCTGGAAAAATTCCTATTGCAGTGCAGTATCACTTCCAAAATGTCAATTTCTTTATGGATTTGTCGTAAGACTGTGGGTTTTATACTATTCTTAAATATACCCAGAGAAGGATCCAGGTCAGGCTGTCAGGCAGCCAAGACAGGTCTGCAAAGCATGTAAAAACATCCTTCCATAAATTTTTTCATTTTAGTTATGCCTTTATAAATAGTGTGGACTGTGGCCCAATCTTGCCAGAACCATTAAGCTCCATGTTGAGTTATCCTGTTTATTCTAGGCATCAAAAGTATGAAACATATTTAAGTAGTGCTCTTCTTTGACTGTGATAGCTTGCCCATTGTCGTTTTGAAAGGTGTATGGCCCAGTTAACCCAAAACACAAGAAGTACACCACAGTAACTTTTCCAGTATGCATATGTCATTGACAGAGTTTGTAGCAGTTTTCTGTGGACCTCATCACTCACTAAATGCAGATTGTCTTCCAACAGAATTGTGCAGCAGTGTAGACATTATTTGTTGTGGCTGGTCATCAGTTTAATAACTTGAATCTTATAGGGATGGCAGTGTAAATCTCTGTGAAAAATTTATCAAATTCTTTGATCAGATAGGCAACACATGGAAGCCTGTTTGTCTGTTTAATGTCTTTCACTGTGCATGCTATGTGCCAGTATTCATGCAGTGTTTTCTGCTGTGTGAGCAGAAGAAGGCCTGCCTGTGGTTTTGTTCTGCGCAGAATCTTCTTTGTGACTCTTTTAACCCCCAGAATGAATATAGTTATGAGAGGGAGCATCTTGGTAGTGAAAATTGAGGGAAAACTATCACTGCATTGTGGTAAGAGGCTTATTTGAATAAACAGTTCCACCACAGAGAGGTATGCTTACGCATAGGCCAGCACTCCATACTGAACTAAGTTGCAGTTTCACCACTGCACTTTGGTAAAGTAACGCACTCACAACACACCAGTGGAAGTAGTAATACAAGACCATCACATATATCTGGGGGACCCTTTGTAGCTGTAATTAATAGTTGTATGTTATGGTACTGTAATACTGTATTTCATTTTTAAATATAGATTGTACAAAGTATATTGGCCTTTGTAATGCTAGAGCCAGTACAGTATATACATAAATATGTAATGTGGAAATTTGATACTCGAAAACTTTGCAGGAATACATACATTGCAGCATCCTCTTGTCAAAGATACATCTTTGACTGATCGATTACATTTTTAGAGTTACGGTATCTCTATTCATTAAGATAATTAGATCAGGACTTTGTGGAAAAGTATGATTCCAGCAAGAATAGTGGGATTTTTATCTTTCACATACCAGGGAATCCTTGTGTGGGATCAAGGACAAAAACATTGTAAAGCTAACTGCTTACCTCCTCATAATTCATAAGCTCTCCATGCCTCCATTATCTCTTCGTAGCTCAGTGTTAAGGCATAGAGCACAGATGGAAACCATTTTTGTTTAAATTATAACATGCAGTTATTGTTCCTCTTTGTGGAGTAAACAGATGGTACAGGCTATAACATATTATAGCTCTTCATTGTATGTATAAGCTGTTTTTATTGGGGGACTATAATTTAAATATAATGCCTTTGAAGGCAAAAAAATGAAAACAGGGTAGTGTAGATTTCCAGAATCATGTATTTTTTTAAGCCAGTGGTTTGAACCAGGTTCAGTTTAATTGCACTGCTTTTATTATGCCCAGTAAAATTGATAAAATATCACTCAACACCTTCCTCTGAAGGTCATATTTATTACTGATATACTGCATTAGGGAAACTAACATCTGTTGCTCTTTGTGGAGTAATGGAGTTACAGTATCATCTGCTGTGAAGTTAAAAATGAAACTGTCACATATCTGTTTTCAACCTATGAATTTAAACAGTGCAGGAAGAATCACGTCGGGGTCACCAATGTGGGATGTCGTATGAATGAATAGACAACCACTAGTTGAACTGTCTTATAGGATTTATTGCAGCTGCACAGTATACACAGACGGATAACAACAATAGTGAACTGCTTGAACACTGAACTAGTATTGTAGAACGGTAGTACTAGACTGTCACTGTAACTCAGTGTATCTTCTTATGTAGCCTGGAGTCGGACATATAGAAAACTGTTACGTAATAGGTACTGCTGTTGCCGGTTACCGTGTTTACAAGTTCCCTAGCAACCGCTGTTTACTCGCTTTTGCCTAGCAACCGTTGTTTACTCGTTGTTAAGCAATGACGCTTGCGTTGTCACACTTGCTTGAATGTGGGCAGTTCCCACACATATTGTTGTGGTAATGGATTTGGGTGATTAGTATTTGTGTAAATAATTTTCACAGAAATTTACTAAACTGTCATGTCAGATTTTGTTGTCTCACATAAGTTTCATGTTAACTTGCATTTTATTATATCTCTTACTTTACTCTTAGATGAATTTCCAAAAATGTTTAAATATTTGTACAGTTCAAATCGCATTGTAAACTTGGATTTCATGTAAATCACAGATGTAAACTTCTTTTATCTGTTACTGAGTAGAGATGGTAGTGCTTCTGTTCATAAATATATTTTAAGATGCCATTGTCAGTAATATTAAATGCTAGGCCAAATTAGCGGCATATAGTGCTATGTACCTCTTATATGTTCATGGAAAATCATATCTGCCTGTCCACCTGCAGTTTAATCTCCAAAACTCCCATGGTTCATAATCATATTTTGTATTGAGAGTTTATACTGACATTTGGTGGGTTAACTTTATTTCATCTTTATCAGTTCAGTATTACCACTATTTTACATGAAGCTCAAATAAAAATGCAAAAGTAAGTAAAGGTATCCTTGTAACAGGCCGTGGAGGCCCATAGGGTTGTGAGATGTTGAGGTTCCCACATTTTCTAGACAGTCGGCTCATAGATGGCAGTAAGTTTGTCAGCCTTACATGCTGGCCGCCCTTTACCCCCAAGAATATTCCAGGTACTCATTTCTGTTAGAGGCTGAGTCGACCCCAGAGCCTTAGTGCAGCTGGAAGGATTAGGTAAATTGAAAAAAATCCAGTGACCTCATCAGGTTTCAATCCCGTGACCTGGTTTGTAGCATAGTGCCTCAGCCAACTATGCTACCGCTTGCCCCCTAAATATAAACATGTATAATTTTCTTATAAATGCCCCAGAATACAAAATGAGTGGCATGTAACATAAAATAGACATCTTGGTAAAATCTACATTTATGTGAAACTTCTTTACATTTTGTAATTTAATTTCATGCCATTTCAGTGTAACCTGTAATAGTTTCTAGTGCTTCTTCAATTTGCATCAGTAAAGATATATATATATATATATCCATTAATTACAAAGATTGATTTATGTAGAACCGTGAAGAATGCATTTGAACTGAGGAAAAGCCGCCACACTTTTTTTCACTAATTATCCAATGTCATTGTACCTTCTGAGTTAATAAAGCAAAGTGTTCAGTTTCTCAAAAGTACAAACATTAGTGCTGGTCAAATTATGGTGGTATGGAGGATGAAATAACATTGTATGTAATTATTTCTTTGTTAGTTTCTCAGTAGAAACATTTGTATCTGCATAGAGTTAAGTAACATGCCGGAAGTTATTCACTGTTAGTGACTAGTTCCTGACAAGGACAACGCAGAAACGTGTGTTTGAAAGTGAGGTATTTTTTCCAGTAAATGTTGTTTCAAACAACAGGTATAGCGTGAGAAGTTAAAACATAAAAAATAATTAGCTTTCAGCTAGTTAGTGATGTTTCAAAGGCTGTATGTTTATAACAATGCATTTATTGTGTAAGATAATACTGTAGATAGGTTTGTGTGTTGGTGTCCGTTTGTTGTGTGAAGCACAAATAAAGTTTCAGTTACAGATATGGCTGTGGGTTTGCCTGTTCCTCTAATGTTATTTTTTAATTGAAACTACAAAAAATGTGGATTAAAAATAGTATATTAGTGATGTTGAACTTCAATGATTTTAAGAGAGAATTCCCATTATAGGATAATTTTAAAGTTCAGATTAGTATCAGATTGTGTATGATATAGTAAATTTTAAATAATTTGAATAATTCAATAAAATTGTATTTACTTTTATTTGTTCTTTTTCTTTTTATGAATACATACAATACTGAGACTATGAAAGTTAAGAATATGGATTCAACAGAAATCTATGTTTCAGGTACCTTTAATCATTAAATTGTGGATTTCCAAATGCAAGCATCTGAATGACCAGATTTCCTTCAAGCACCTGCCACCCCACCCCCTATATTTGTGGGGGGGAGGGAATAGATCAAATGTTAATACCAAAAATTAAAATTATTTTGAAAATATATCCTGTCTTGAATACTCTAAGGCATTCAGTAAAAGTAGCCATTTGTAACTTTAAAAGTAAGTTCATATGCAAATTTTCTGACTGTTCTCCCTGTTGGAAAAAAATCCTGATAGCCCCCTTACAACTATGATAATTAACCACAGAGTCCCATAAAGGGCAAGGGATTTCTTTGCAAGCTGAGCCACTATTTTCTCAAAGTCTCCGCTCCATGGAGTTTGTTACTTATCAGACCACCTGCATTAATTAACAAACAATAAAAAATTAGTGGTATATGTTAAGTATGAGTTCTTTTACATAAATATAAACCATTTAAGGTTTCTTTGGGGACTGGTTGATATTGTAATGTGTTTCGTTACTGAAGACGCCGTTCAGATTGTTAATTGGTTTATTTAACAACGTACAAGTATCGGCTACAATTAATTATAACACAGTTGCGGGGTTTCATGCTTTATAACCCTATTCACAATAATCTCTTCACTCTATCTTCAGTATGCTACACGTATTAATTACGATACGCGAGCTATGTAAGTGTCCCTGTATCACACACTCACTGTCTTTGGCAGCTGCTATATTTCACAACGCCACTCCTTAACACACACTAACTTGTTCACGGCTAAGAACTGTCTTCGGCCGCTGATACACTTTTAACTAACTGCGACAACTGAACTCGGCGACAGCCACATTTCAACTCCACTCGTAGGCAGTGTGGTTCACTCATATAGTCGCAGCGCCCGCCTGTTACGTAATCAGTGCCGCTGTTGCCTCATGCCGTGTTACGTCACTGCGCATTGCGTGCCTCGTCACAGTAGGAAGCGGTGCCACATAGCCCAGAGGGGGTACGTCACTGCTGGGGGGCGTTGTCCTCCATTGTGCAACATGTCACAATATAAATGCTTCACTAAGGAAAATTGGAATTGGAATTGTTGAAAGTGAATGTTAAACAAGGGAAACCCTTAAACCTAGGAATATTAAATAGCAGTTTCACTGTACTGTATAAATGAATACGCTGTATCTTGATAAGATGCGGTTTTTATTACTGTATCAATATGCCATTCTCTTCATGTACAGGTCAGATTATGGCTACAAATTCTTGCTGATGACAATCTTAACTTCAGAACTACACCTGAGCCATATTACTAATGCATATGTCAGGGACAAAAATTGCTTCACCTGTGTAAAAGTGGTAGATAATGGCTATGTTAAATGTTTGCAACAAATTATGGGAAGTATATGACACTTATTATGCTTCAGATATTGCAGTCTAGCCATTCTGTAAATAGTTTCCAAGGTTACAGATTCCCACTACAGTGCTGTGCCATCTCCACCTGTGTGACATTTTCCTTCAGGTCTGACCACTCACCTCCAGCTAGTGCCGAGGTCAAGAAAATGTGCATCTGTACATCCACTCCATCTTCATGGCATAGTGCTTAATTAGTTAAGCACAGGGACAACTTTACCTTTTATTTCAATCTTAGCCATTCAGTATATAACTTCCACTGCTACATATTCCCATTAAGTTAACTGTATCACCTATAAATATTAGTGTTGTACTATCTCCACGTTTATAATTGTGATGGTATGAATACATTTTCATACAGAATTGTCAGGAATGTTGACCTATGTCCATACAGATCACAAACTTAGCTCCAAGGGCTCATCAGTTGTTGCCATCAAGCCATGAGCTAATGTTGATTCTGCATGGCTGACATTATTTTGAAGATTTATTATCAGAAAATGTTAAGACTGCATTAAGTGATGTAATGTTGCTCCAACCCCTTGAACCGTGCAACGGTTCTTCTCCGTTAAGTTCCTTGGAGTGGCCTTTCTGGACACCAGGATGCGAGCTGGTCCTTTCTGCCCTGCTGACGTCAGAATCATGTGTCCCCCCCCTCCTCCTTAGTGTGATTGCGAGCCTTCGTGGTAAGTCAAGATAAGCGATCATTCTCTTCTTCCCTTACATCTTCGTCTGGTAACATCACTACGACTAAATTTGGTTTTGGAACAATTAAGTTGATGATACTGAAATTTGGTTTCGGCACATAGCGCGGATCAAAGGGGGAGAAGCAGCCCTCACGAGCTAGTCGGGGCTGGCTGGTTTGTGAGGTAAATGTTTGAGTTTCTTTGGCCAAACTGCAAGTAAGTGACTTACTGGATTTGTGCACGCCATAAGGCATATTGGCTTGGTTGTATACTCCGTGTGGCGTGGTTTAGTTGATCTGCTGCACCGCAAGGCACGGTGGAATTTTGGTTTGGGTTAGAGGTTGTAATAACCAGTAATTGCCCTTCAGGCGTGGTTCACCTGTTTACTCAGGTTATCAATGTACTTCCTTGTGTTAGGGAAAGTTAATTGCGTACATATGTACTGGATGTTTTTGGATACGCCATGAGGCGTGGCACGGTTGATTTGGTGCGCTGCCAGGCACAATGTAATTCTGCTTCAGTCAGCCATTGTATGTAATAACCAGTAACTGCCCCTCAGGCATGTTTATTTGTATGCTCAGGTTATCAATATATTTCCACGTTTTAGGAAAGTGTTTGAGTATATGTACACTGTGTCGCCTTATGTTCCATACTAGCTCCTGCCTAGTTGATCGCCCAGCTTGGTCTGCCGTACTGACCTGGGATTTCCTCTCTCGAGATCCCTTACCCAATCTTAGGGAGGCATACTGCACCAAGTCAACAAGCAAGTCGTTTCTTACGAGCCTGTCCCTTACCCGTATAGACGGGGGACACGGCTCACCCTGAAGTTTGCACAGCCAACAGTTTAGGATTATTGATGGCAGAAAATGCAAAAGCAGTGGCTTGATGCTCATATCAAGTTTAATTATGATCTATTATTCGTTGCCAATTTGGTGGGAGGAGAGGATAGATGACATGATAAAATGTGCTTTCCTGTGAACCATTCATGATCTCAAACAAGATGTATCTTATACTATATATTTATAAGAGTACCATTCAAGCATTCATCACCTATTAAAATAGCACATAAAAGTACATAGTTATCTCTTCTCATTGTTATAAAGACTTAAGAGGTGAACCATGCCTAAATATCTTGAGAAGCTGAGAAGTCGTTCATATGGTAGGATTCCTCCTCCTGTCCACAACCTTACACATCCTGCTTTCACAAAGGCCCATTTTAATATGCAGCGGCTATTCAACAAGAGTCTTAAAGAAATAGGGTGGGAGGCAGATCATCTGACTTAGGATTGACATGAACAGGTAGGCTCTTGTGAACACAATACTGAACCTTCAGATTCTGTAAAATGGTATGAACTTTGTGAGTGGCTGAGGAACGTGCGGGTTCTCACGAAGCACTCAGCTGCATGGAATTACATACATTTTTGAAGAATTTCTTCCTGCCAACTTAAGAAGTATCGGAAAGTGACTTACACACTATCAGACTCTTTGAAGAAAATTGAAAATATATTATTCTCTTCACAAACTACACGACAGCATCAACTTAAATGTATGAGTAAGAGAAATGTTGGATTATGCAACAATAGAGACAAATTGCAAAATAAACAAAATAGGAATGTGTTATGAAGATTTTTTACACAATAAGTACTGTGGGTTTGAGTTGCACTATTTCATAGAAACATGGATACAAAAGTACTTTGTTTTATTTAAACAGTCTATATACTTTGATTTACATGATCATTAGTACTGGATATACAGGATTTAAACATAAAATGGCATGTTATGATACATTTTATTGTATACTTTTGTGGCTTCAACTATCCCTTGATATGAACATATATGTAAAAAATATCATATTTAATCACAGTTGGACTTACCTGGTTTTCAACTTACATGGATACCTTCAAACTGAATTTACTATGTAAGCTGAGGTTTTACTGCACATGGTATCTTTCAAGTAATGTCCCAAGTAGCAGACATTCAACCATGTGGCCAGTTCCTTCAGTTATCCATATGATAAAGAACTGGGTCACTTTTGGATGCTTGAGTACAGAACAAAACTAAATCAACATCACAACTTGTAAAGTTCAAGGACAGACCACTGATGTGATGAAAATGCTTCAAGAGTCAGATTAAATTACACATTTAGTTAACATTAAGCAAGTTTCTTACTCATATTCTTCCATCATAAAATCATTCAAACACGAGAATTTCAATATTCATATGTAACTTGCATAAGTAAAAGTTCTAAAATACAAGAGTTGTTGACCATATTTAAAGTACTCTAATTCTTTCATTTTTCTTAACATTGCTGTTTGCCTATTTTAGTATGATGGGGGCCACTGATATTTTTAGTCATCACCCTATCTCAGATCAGGTGTAGAACCTCCCAGGTAGACACTCAAGTCAGTGATAGTGGATTTCACCAGCTTGGCCCTTATCGTTGGTGAACCCAAACGTTTGTGGGCGGAGTACCGATGGCAACCACCAAATGAATAGTAATAATCACCTCCTTCTCGACCTTTAATCCACAAAACATCAATTGGTGGCACTTCAGAACATTTCACTGGATCCTGAAAGACAATATGTGTCAGATAATGTAACACCAAGTCAGTGGGCAAAGTATTCAATACTTATGGTCTAAATATCAGTAATCCACAATTATCAGATTTCACTGTTCTCCAGAAATCCAATCCTACTGAATCTTTAGTCCAAAATATTAACTAGAAAATAAACATACAAATGCATACAAGTTTTGACAAAATGTGCAGCAAGTAAAACATTAACTAAACATATGCAACAGAACCTACTTGCAGTGTCTTCATTATGCTATGAACTTTATCTTCATCTACTTCAAGCGGAAAGGGACGAATGAGAATTGTCATTGGAATATCATGAATTTCTTCAATTAATCCCGCATGGATGCTCGTAATATCTTCTGCATTTGATTTCGAAACTTTGCTTGTCGATGCCATCACTGTAACAAACCAAGATCTGGGTGCACTAATTATGTATGCCATCTTGTTATGAGAAATAAAAATCAGTAAGTCAACAAAGATGTATGGAAATATCTCTCGAAAGGCCTCAAGTTTTCTTTCCATATTATGTGTGCAGATTCAAAACTACAGCTATTTAATACAGAAAATCAGAATGGTTACATCTGTTAGTTTTACATAAACCTCATATTTGACTAACAGTATGTGGTCACCACATTATAAAGAAATTCTTGACACTGGCATGCAGATGATGCTGTTTTATTGACACTCTGCATTACCTAATCTAATATATAACAATCTCATAAAAGAAACACTTCATGGATTTTTTTTTAAACACAACTTAGTCTATGTTTCATTCATTCACTCTTTTATTAATCCTGCAGATCATGATACAATGATATAGGACAAGTCTTTCAGCTAATATACATTATTAAGTTATAACAATCTTAATACAAAAAAATTATATAAGATATACAACATTTTATACATTATCTACTATATACTTCTGCTTATATCAGTAGCCAATATTCACGAAATCATCGTTCAAATAGTCCTCCGTTGAGTAATAGCACCTCATAATAAGCAACTTCTTCAATTCCCTTATGAACTGGTTTCTGTTTTCTATTTCTTTTATGTTGTTAGGCAATTTGTTGTAAAAGATACAGCCAGCTACTGAAGGATTACTATTATAAAGTTCTAAGTTGTGCCCATATAGTATATGACAGTCTTTATTATTTCTTTTGTTATAAGTATGTATTTGTTCATTCACTGTGCAGTTACACTTTTTTTTTACGTATAGGATTGTTTCTTGTATGTATAGCGAGTATACTGTTAATATCTTTAAATTTCTGAAGCTATCCCTGCACGATTCCAGATGTTTTAGCCCTGCAATGTATCTTACTGCCCTTTTTTTGGGAGTACAAAAATTCTTCTGGTGAGGGTCTTAGCACTATGTCCCCATACTATTATTCCATATGATAGATGAGGATAGATCAATCCGTAATACATTCTTCTTTCATTTAAACAGAGTATTTTAGATACCCTGTTAATTATGAATAGGTTATGGCTAATTCTACTGCAAGTTTTTTCAATATGTAATTCCCACCTCAAGGTACTATCTATTACTACCCCAAGAAAATTTGTGCTTTTTACATTTGATATTTCCCTGTTCTTTATTAGTATTTTTAGATTACTTTCCTGCCTGCATTGTTTTGTCTGGAAGAGAATATAGTGAGTTTTAGATGGATTTATTTTTCAATTGTCTCAAATTATTGCTCTATCACTCCTATATCATTTGAAGTCATGTTTTGGAGCTCATTCATATCTTTTCCTACATTCAGTATTGATGTGTCATCAGTATACATTATTGATGTGCCCTGTGTTAGATGTGGGATATCGTTTATATATAAGATGAAGAGAAATGGGCCAAGGATTGATCCCTGGGGAACTCCATATCTCACTGGGAAGCTACCTGACAAATATTCTTTCATGCGATTGCCTTCTGTGTGAGATACTTTTACGTATTTACATGTATCGAAACATGTTTCAGCCATATGGAGCCCTCATCATGTACATATTATTCATTTAATCGCTACACTGTATTGTAACACTTCGTTTTGCATGACGTTAAAATTCCAAAAGTTATTTAAAAACCAAGTTGGATAATTGTTAATATAATTTATATATTATATATTATTATATCCATGTTGTGTTGTCACTGGCTGGGATGTGTATATTTCTTGGATGTTTTTTGGTTCTATATACTGTAGTGGCTAGTATGTGTAATCAACAATTTTCAATATAATAACATTCTTTGGTTCAGGCAGATAGTCTAGTTTAGCATACGAGTGCCTCACAGAATATTCTGAACTTGTATTAATCTCAAACACATCGACAATGACAAGTAAGAACTCGTGAAAAACGACAAATAAATATCGTACTGGTTCCTGGCGACATGATCTAGCATAACACTCTTTCAGCCGGTTTTCCCTTGGGCGATCTGGTCGGGTACACTTCTTTTCCCTTAAACTTGTAATATTCAGTTTTTGAAGTGATTTCTTACGTTTCTTATTTCGGCCTCCGTACACTAATGCGCTGAGAAACTGTCCGATAGCATACAAAACCTCATTACCCGATCCTGCGAAACTTCGTATCGTGCTGCAAACACAGTTTTTCATTACTGGGTTCATGACATACCACACACATAATACTTGACTATGTACGAGAGTCCATATACATACTGTATAGTTGATATGACAACCACCTTTTGAAAGTACATAATCATGTCACGTTTCTCTGATTGTCACATGGCCAAGTACACTTGTAATCTTGTAATAATCGATAAAAATATGGCCAAATAAACAGAAATAAAATTCTCACTAGAAATAAGAATTCCCTACTAGGAGTGAAGATGTTAAATAAGCGTAGGTATTGAATTTACTGAACTTGTCCAGTGGCCGCCGTGCCGAGTGGACCCAGTTGGACTCCACCGCCCACTAAGCGAAATTAATTGAACTTGTACTTTTCGCCATATATAATTAGAATGATAAAGCTAATTAGATGGGCTGGACATGTAGCACGAATGGAGAAAAGAGGAATGCATATAGAATTCTGATGAGAAAGCAAGAAGGAAAGAGACCACAAGGAAGACGAAAACGTAGATGGGCGGCCAGTATTAAAATGGATCTGAGAGAGATAGGATGGCGTATGAACTGCATCGATCTGGCTCAGGATGGGGACCAGTGGAACGCTCTTGTGAACACGATAATGAATATTCATGTTCCACAAAATGCTGGAAAATTCTTGAGTAGCTACGCAATTGGCAGTTTCTCAAGAAGGGCTCAGCTCCATCAAGTTAGTTAATTTACACATTGCAGGATCATAACGCCATTCTACAAACCTGTGAATGCAGAATCGTTCGTGCATTCCGTACGGAGCTTCTTCGTATAACTTCCTTTTTCCTCAAGCGACAACGCCTCACGTTTCCTACTAATTATTGCTGGTGCAGTATCCATCAATAGCAATTTTCCGTCCATCCCGGTTTCAATTACTAAACTTGTGTGGTGATACTTCACCGAAATACAAATGTCACAATTGTTTGTTATTCTTTGAACTCCGTCAGATACATTTCAAACGGTTTCACACGCGGGAAAGTCATTTTCGTTTCAAAGGTCAGTTGTCGCCAATAACTGAAAATTAAATCCGCCAAATCGTTCATCCTCATTACAAACAACTTTTTATTTTACAATTAATTGATTATCAATTCTACATTTATATACTGCTCGCCATAAAATTATCTATTTTTGTCTCATAATTTGTGCTGTTTTCAAATGCGTTTCATGACGTGAGAAATCGTAATTCAGCAAATTTGCTGACACATTATTCTAGTTATCATTGCTGACATCGCATTATTCCCACCGTGATCCGTGACCACCGGTAAATGCGTTTTTTGGCGGTTTCACGATGTTGTAATGCACGTATAAGGGTGTGGTAGGAATATAATGCCCATCTTCTATCCCAATGACTAAATTATCTTTCGTTAATTATGTTGATACTGTACGAGATATGAAGTGTAGGATTTAAGGTTTACACGGCTTTAGTTATGAAGAGTTGTATGTGTTGTGGGATATAACAGCGTATAGTCTGTGGGAAGTTGGCTTATTTTGTCGACCCCAAAGGCACCCGATTTACGTTCAGAAACGGCGGTTAATTTTTAACAGAGTAGAGGATGTTATATGCCTGGAGATAATATCCTGCCTTAATAATGCATGTTCGTGATACGCAGGGCTGAACAAAGACGTATCAAGTTGTCATGACAACAGGGTAGCAACCCGTAGTGCGGTTTAATGCGATTTTGTCTTTCATCGACTTCCAAGGTTCCTCTTTGAATTTCAGATTTATTTGTGTTTGTAGCTTAGTAAAGTAAAATAAAAGATCATGGTGAAGCTGCACGTTAAAAGAGGTGATGAAAGTCAGTTTCTGTATGAGACTACTGTTGATAAAACAGTAGATGAAATTATTAAAGAGGTGACTGTTATTTACAACGGAAGATTAAAAATCAGTCGCGTATGTGATGGTAAGCCATTACGGCGGATACACTCTTGTTTGCTTTTTTTTTTAATATTAGATTAGGTTAGGTTAGGTTATATTGCCTTAAGTCACATATGTGTTGGGTTTATAAAAGTTATTTCTTTGTGTTAAGATGGACAGTAAGGCGCATTCTCAGATCTCTGAATTTGAAAGACGATCAATTTCATGTTGTTCCAACATTTCTGAAGAAATGTATCCCATTTTCTCACTTCAATAAAAAATTGATTATTGCCCAAACTGTCTGGATACGATAGTGAAGTAATTAACTGATAAACTTCATGGAATAGAATCCTTCTTGAGAAGCTAATAGTTGCCCAGCTAGTCAAGACATGTCCAGAATTTTATGGAAGATTATCAGTATCATTTTATTATCATTCAACAATCCATACATACAGGTATTACAACCATTTCGATAAGGAAATTGTCAGTTTTACATCTAATTCGCATGCATATCTTTACAGTATACACTGTACTACCCTAATATAAGGGGTTTGTCATCTGAATAATATTATCTAGATCTAGTTACCGTTAATTTCATTGTCTTTACACAAATATAACAAATTAATCAGCTACATATTACATTTACACACTTGATGAATCAGAAGACATAAATTCATCTACAGAATAAAAGGAATGTTTCAGCAAAAAAGGATATCATTGCTATATTCGTTGCTATATTCACAGAAACCTGCTGGTCCCTATCCTGAGGCAGATTAATCCATTCTGCACCCACACATCCTAATTCTTTAAGATCCATTTTAATAGTATCCTCCCATTTATGCCTAGGTCAGCCAAGGTTTTCCTGCACAATGAATTGAATTGAATTGAATTGAATTTATTTACATTCTATAAATCCTAAGCAGGTTAGTACCTTTGGATACAGAACAAGTCAAAAGGTTACATACATAAGTACAGGCAATTTTAGCTTAAAAATTAATATAACTTAATTTTACATCATTCTCTATTTACATTGAAGTATTCATCTAAAGAGTAGAAGGAATGAGCATGTAGATAATTCTTTAACTCTGATTTAAACTTTTTAGTATCATTGCCCAAGTTTTTAATACTTTGTGGCAGATTGTTGAACACTTTTATGCCAGTAAAGTAGACTCCTTTTTGATATACTGATAAAGTTGATGAGGGTAGGTGGAAGTTATATTTTTGTCTAGTATTCATGTTATAGACATCAGAATTTAATTTGAATTTATCTTTGTTGTAAACAACAAATAAGAGAAGCGATAATATGTATTGCGATTGAAGAGGTAGAATTTTTAATTTCTTAAATAATTCTCTACATGAATCTCTACTTCTACATCCTGTAATGATTCTAATTATATTCTTTTGTATTTTAAAAATTATTACACTATGTGAAGAGTTCCCCCAAAATATTAATCCATAGTTCATAATAGAATGAAAGTAGGCATGGTAAACCATCTTCAATGTTTCCTGTGACATAAAAGGCTTAATTGATCTCATCGCATAGCAAGCTGCATTTAATTTAGGTATAATTTGTTCAATATGTATTTTCCAAGACAGTGTACTGTCTACATGTATTCCAAGGAATTTTGTATCAAGTACTTTACAGATTAATTTGTTGGCATAACTGATGTCCAGATCAATTTGGTGGTTGTTTTTAGTTGTGAATGATATGTAATGGGTTTTATCAAAATTTAATGAGAGTAAATTGGCTTCGAACCATCTGTTTAAGGCTTCAAATACAATATTTATGTCATTTTTAAAGTTTTCAAATTTAGAGTTCTTAAATATTATACTAGTGTCATCTGCATATAGAATTGGTTTAGATTTATTGTTGATGGTTTTAGATAGATCATTTATGTAGAGAAGAAAAAGTAAGGGACCTAAAATTGATCCTTGTGGAACACCGTGCTTTATAATTCCCCAGTTTGAAAATGCATTATGACTGGAGTTTTTATTATTTATTTCAACTCTTTGATACCTGTTTTTGAGGTATGATTTGATCCATTCATTAGCTTTGCCAGTTATTCCATAGAAATTTAATTTCGATAGTAAGATATCATGATTAACACAATCGAAAGCTTTTGCTAGATCACAGAAAATCCCTCCCACAATTAATCTGTCATTGAGAGCACTTAAAATATCGTTAGTTAGTTCATAGGTTGCTTTTTCTGTTGTTAGGTCTTTCCTAAATCCAAATTGCTCTTTGACTAATATGTTGTTAGAATTTAAGTGTTCAAGTAGTCTATTATACATAACTTTTTCAAAGACTTTTGAGAATGAAGTCAATATGGATATTGGTCTGTAATTAGAGATGCATTTTCTCTCTCCTTTTTTAAAAAGTGGTTTCATTATAGCGTATTTTAAGCGTTGAGGAAAAGTACCTGATGATAAAGATTTATTACATAGATGATTCAAGGGTGAACTGATGTAAACAGAGCTTGCTTTAAGTAATTTGGTAGAGATTTCATCATATCCATGTGAATTTTTGGGCTTAAGGGATTTAATAATGTTTTCAATTTCCTTCCTTGTTGAGAATTTGAGATTGATATTTGGAAATGAATTGTTAAAGGCACGAGACAGATAGTATATTGGATTATTATTATTATTATTATTATTATTATTATTATTGGAATATGTTTTCTCAGCTAATGAAAGGAAATATTCATTAAATGCACTTGCGATAGCTTGTGGATTGTTAGTGGACTTCCCTTCAATATTCAAACTTTGTACGTCTTCATTAACAGATTTCTTTCCTGATTCAACTTTCACAATATCCCAGGTGGTTTTAATTTTATTGTTTGATTTTAGAATTTGGCTGTTATAGTTATTCTGTTTGGCTTCTTTAATGACTTTTGACAAAATTTTACAGTACATTTTGTAGTGACTTTTTAGTCTTGGATCATTACTGTCCCTACTGGCCAAATATAGTTGTCTTTTGTGTTTACATGAAGTTTTTATTCCAATTGTTATCCAGGTGGATTTGTTTTTATTTTCATTTTTGACTATTTTTAAGGGAAAGCTTGAATAAAAGATCCTCAAGTATGTGTTCAGAAAGCAATTAAATTTAGAATCAATATTATTGCTGTCAAATACATTGTCCCACGATTCATTACTTAATTTTGTGACAAAATCTGCCATCGTATGCTTGTTGATTTTCCTTACTGTTTTATATTGTTGATTACTGGGCTGAAAGTCAATATTATTTATTTCTATGAGTTGAGCATCATGATCGGATAAGCCATTTATAAAGGGTCCTACAGTATAATCTCTTAATTTTGAGTTATCAATGAATATATTATCTATCGCTGAACTAGAATTATTTTGAACTCTTGTGGGAAAGTTAACAGTACTGGAGAGATTGTAAGATGATAACAAAGAGTCTAAATTTAGTTTCCTATTACTGTCGATGTTGTATGCATTTCTTTTCTATCCCATATATGCTATTCTTGGCCCATTCCCAAATATTTAAACTTTACTGCATTTTGAAAGACTGTTAGCAAATGTGTACCTACTTCCCTTATTCTGAAAAAATGTAAGTAGGCTGATGACTGTGTGTGACTGTCTTTAGACATGTATCCACTGTAATGATATTTGAACACTTCTGCAGATTTTCATGAAAGTTTATATATATATATATCAGGCTGCCAGTGGTCATCTCAACAACATAATTCATTAAATCCTTCCATCAGTAATGCCAACAGTGCAACCTCTCAGATTGTTGCCGTAGTAACCTTAATATTGCTTGAATGCCTGAACTGATTGTCATGAAACTTGACGTGTGTCACGCCATATGCTGCCATCTGTGTGGCATTTTTCGTAAATCCTTTCTGTCAGTAAGTTTATGGGTACATAATAAAGTATAAACCACTTGTCATGGAAGATACTCAGTTTATAGTGTAATGAAAGTAGGTGATTAGTCCTTTCCAGGACTTTATTTGTATTATGGTTTTGCCCTGTATTCTAGTGATGAGACATGAATGCATACAATTTTCTTTCTTAATGTACTTCTAGACAAACCTCCTTAGTAGCCTTTAATAGAGATTCTATATTTATCATGATGGCATTTATGTTTAACCCAGAAATTAACGTCATCAACACAGACCAGAAGTTGATGTGTCCCATTTAATTTGCCTGTCCTGGTCTTCTTCCTTTCTAATGGCATATTGTAATTAAAATAGAAAGCTGTGGCAATGTGGCAGATGAATCTTTATCTGTCTGAACTTTACTATAGGTTTAATTTAAGCAATTTCAATCGGCTCATGGTAGCTGTCACAGAATTACCTTGTTCAGTGTTATGGCAGAATCGCACAACTTCGCTACACCAGTAACAGAGCCCAGACTATTTCAGCAGAATTGAATATTTTGTGGGACTTCTCACTGCAGTATGTTGTAGTATTTTCATTTGTAAGAGGATCAATGAGATGATTTGACCACTGAATAGTTCAGTTGATGGGTAATACTCATATAATCATACAATGCATATTTTATGGAATTTTGTTACTTTAATAATGTAAACACAGTCTCATAATTTTTAATTATTATTCACAACATAGGTAAAAACATACACTTCTACAGATTATTCTCTATGCACTCTACCATATACACAATCCAACTGAACAGGTTAAAATAGTGGTAACAGTCTAGGCATATACAGTGGAACCTTGCTTAATGATCACCTCTCATAACGAGTAATTCTCATAATGAGCAAAACAAATTGTAAAAAAAATGACTCGCTTAACGAGCAACATTTTGCATAACGAGTGATGAGCACGGAAGTCCCGGATTGTGCACTTGCTAAGCACTTGAAAATCGAGAACGAGGTGTGAGCGTAGCTGATCTAGCACGCACATACAATCGGTCTACATCAACGATTTGCACGATTTGGAGTTGCATTGTGTTTCACAGCAAGAAGTTGTGGAGGAGAGTTTGTCAGAGGAAGAAGAGGAGGAGGTAACAGCAAAGCAACAATCTTCTGGCGCAATAAGAGAAATGCTGAAAGCATGGGAAACTGTTGCATCGTACATTGAGACGCATCACCTTAGGCAGTGGCTATGCGCACTACAAATTTATTTAATGATAATGCCATGTCGCATTTTCACCAAATTTTGAAGCGTCGCCAAAAACAAATGTCTCTAGACAGCTTTCTAGTAAAAAAGAATTAGATATGTATCATAAGTAATAAACTAATTATTTCAATTTTTTTTTGTCTTCTGCAAATCGAATTCACATTCAAGGTTGGCTCATTCCGCACAGAAGAAAAGATGAAGATGATTCACGCTCCTTAACAATGTATATATAATTTTCTTTGAATAAACGTTATACGCAAAAATTTTTGAGTATTTTTTTTTTGGCATGGAACGCATTATCGTATTTTACATTAATTTATATGGGAAAAATTGTTTCACATTATGAGTAAGATTCTGGAACGAATTATGCTCATTAAGCGAGGCTCCACTGTACTGAGATGTTCCTTTTGAATCCAGGCCAGGACACTCGCTGTCTTGATTCGGGTATTTTGAGACTTCCCTCAGTATCTAGGCAAATGTCAGGATAGCAACTTAATTATGCCAAGACTGCTACCTTCCAATCCCTTTTCAGTTGAGCAGCCATCCTACAATTAAATGCTATATAGTCTAGATGCTGACAGTGTTGTGAAATAAACCACAAATATACTCTGGCTCTGGAATGTGGCCCAAGATTCAGACTTTACTGTTTCAAAACCTTCACTTCCATCAGTATCAGAAAACACACTGTATGTTTATATGTTGTACAGACATTTTGCACTGCAACAGGGGTACCATTTTCAGTTGTAACCAAGTGGTCAGTTTGTTTCCACAGTAAAGCTGACAGTGGAGAAATGTAGAGATGGAGGTTTACTATAAGTGGGGTTGTTCTGTTCTGTTCTGCTTCAGTTCGCCCAATGTAATTAACCCCATGTATGTTCAAAATAGTTCATTGCTAGGCAGTGGCTCAGTAAACACATTCTCATGGAAGCAAATGCGTGCAACAGTAGAACAGCAGTGTTTCTCTGGCCTGTGCTGCATAGGTTACTACACAGCAGTCAGGTAAACACATCTCTGCACCAGTAAATCAACATTCAACAATAGAGGAAGAGGTGTTTTCTGTGGGGGCTGCCCTGAGGCTACATAATGAGGGTCTGACACAGTATAATATAACAAAATTTTGCAGACGACAAACAGAAATCATACAAAATCATGAGAATGAACATGTTCATGGTATAGGACAAGGTGAAGCCAGACACAGAAAATATAAGAGGTTTAAACTTGGCAGTGGTCAAGTTTACGACCGTTCAAATGACTAAGTTTTCGTTGTAGCGTAAGATATATAAGTTAGGCGTGATCTGCTCTGTAAAACCTGTACTGACGGAGCACTTACGTGTAGTGCAAAAGGAAGAATTTTTGATAACATGTGATATGTACGAAATATACACTTGACAAAAGGTCAAGAGTGTATTCATAAGAGACAAACCAATCTTGTCAGAGAGGATGTTACATAAGGACTATTACTGCAAGAGTTCAGTTGGAAAAAAAAAATCTCTGGTCGTGGGCCTCAAGGGGCCTGACACCAAGATAAACTGATTGGCGGTAAACCGCCAGTCGTAAAGTAACTCTGACTCTGACTCTGGCTAGAAGATCATCCTTGTGTGGAGGCAGGGTCAAATACCTCCACCGTGACCTGCGAGTTGTATGAGGTGATGAAAAGGGAAGTCTCTAATCTGAGACAGTAAAATATGGTCATGAGTCCCAAGGGGACTGAGACCTGAGAAAGACTGCTCTGGCAAGGGCCAGAAGCATATACAAAAGACAGACCCCATCCTCTTGTCAGGGAGGATGCCTCACAAAAACAAGACTGGAACTGTCAAGCAGTAATAAATATCTTGTCTTGACACCAAGGCTTACTGACTGAATGACTGGCCATCAGTCGCAATGTGACTTTGACGTTGCCTAGAATTAGACTTGAGCTGAGTTCTGGAGTTGGTAGTTGCAGCAGAGAATTGAGTCTTCAGTGTTGGCAGTTAGCAGAATAATGGCAAGAAGACTTCATGTGTGATTTGCAGTTACAGTGAGACTGCTATGAATTCATTGCCAGGATGCATCTAACCAGTGGCGGCTCGTGGCTAAAATTTGTGGGGGCTGCTCCAGAAGCGCACAGTTCCATACAAAGATTTGGCTACTGACATTAAGCTTAAGGATTATATATTGTATTGTACAAGTATAAAGAAAGAATTAAAGAAAAAAGGACTCATTATATAAATGTTATCGATAATATCAAGTGGAAATTGTGGGTGCTGCAGTTCCTCAGTGCCTATACACGGGCTGCCCCTGCATCTAACAAAGACTGAGAAGACTTAGCATGTTCAGTGATAGCACTGTATTGCCTCTAGTTCCAAGTGGTGTGTATAAGATGTCAATAAATCCAATCATACAATCCAAAACCCACCTACAGTGCGTACAATCAATTGCGCGCCGCGGCTGCAATTTGCCGTGAGTCATACCAGCGCAGAACGGATGCAGTCGCGGGGAGGAGTTGCAACTTCTGCGGTGGTATGACTCACGGCAAATTGCAGCCGCGGCGCGCACTTGATTGTACGCACTGTATAATCACACAAGCCCCATATACATGTCAATATACATGTACAACGTTGCTGTTGCAGAAATGGAAGAGCTTGCAAAGCATGGAACGCTTCTTCCTCCAAATATTATGGGTCTGACAGATGAACAAGTAGAAGAATTGAAACTAGTGGATGAATGGGGTGAGAAATGTGTTCCTAGTGGTGGTTGGACCTTCAATAAAGATCCTATTGGAAGAAGAAATGGCAGGCAACCTAATGAGCACATGCAAGATGTCATTAAAAGAACAACTGAAGAAGCCAAAACTATGGTCTCTAAGGTAAGATATTTGTATTAACCTTCATTGGCTGTATGTTGTACTATTTTAATGGAGAACATGTCTGGTTCAGTTGAATTCAGTTGAATATTGAAATGATACCTCAAATTACTGAATGCTTCAAGGTAATAAATTAATAATGCAGGCTCTATACCAGCCCTTCTATAAGCCTTACAGTAAAAGAATAACAAAATCTGTCACATAACTACAGTTTCTGTTTTTGTTGTTAATTATGATGCTGTCATCACTGTTGCTGTTGTTGTCGTCATTGTTATTTATTTATATAGATCACTGTTACATGATATAGGACAAGTCACTTACTGTACATTGGCTGATTACAATAAGAGAATAAAGTTACAGTACTTACAATTGTTTACAATAGATTACAGTGGATTACAATAGTTAAGAGTTCGTATAATGTGAGGTGGAATCCATATTAGGTCCCGTCATCACGTCGGCTTCCATATGCCCTATTGTACCTGTACCAGTGATAATGCTTATGGAGAATTTGATGGAATGAGGATTGGCAGGGGAAACCTGCCCCAGCGCCACTTTGTCAATCACAAATCCCACTTGACTAGACCGCAGCGGTGGGAAGTTAGCAACTAACTGCTTAAGCTATGGCGCGGCCTTCGAGATAATATTGGTGAATTTGGTGATAGCACTGGCATAACGTTTCACTGTACTCTACGCTGCAACATCTTATTACATCTGTTCTCCCTTCCTGGTGCAGCTTCTTGATATCTGCAATCTCTCCAGAGTAGCCCATTCAGTTATTATTATTGTTGTTACAAAAGAAAAAGTAAAGCTGTCACTGTAACAGGCCATGAAGGCCAATAGGGTTGTGAGATTTTGAGGGTCCCACATTAGCTAGCCAATTGGCTCATAGATGGCGGTAAGGTTGTCAGCCCTACGCGCCGGCCGCACTTTACTCCTCAAGAAAATTATTTAATTAATCTCTGGTACTCATTTCTGTTAGAGGCTGAGTAAACCCTAGGGCCTAGTGTGGCTGGAAGGATTAGGTCAACTGAAAAAAAAATCCAATGACCTCATCACGACTTGAACCCGTGACCTTCCGGCTTGTACCATAGCTTCTCAACCACTACGCTACTGCGTGCCCCCATTATTATTGTTGTTGTTGTTATTATTATTATTATTGTTATTATTATTATTTATTTATTTACAGAAGCAGGTTCAAGCTGGGGTTTGTCTTACACAGAAAATGGTTCAGGATGCTTTGGACATTCTTCGAGGTGCAATACTGATAGTCTATCCTATGAACCTTCCACCACATGAGGTTATACGCCATGAGTTTGAGAATACCGAAGATCTGTCTGGAATGCAAGCTTCTTTAGAGGTCAGATTTCTGAAGATCGCTCTTGAGTTATCCCATATTTCTTTCTTGGCCTTCCAAGAAGCTCTTGTTGCCAAAATAATGTATACATTTTTGTGCTCTCCTCCTTCCCCCAGTTCCTTCATTTCTAGTAAGTCCAAATAATTTAAACATGTTCTGTTCCTTATCATGTGATGTGTTCTCTAAGGATGAAACCAAAATTTCACAAACATGAAAAGTTGTTAGTAAAATGTTTTGTCTGTATATATATACATGGTGTTTCACGACTTTGGGGCATAACTGCAGGAGATGATTTCCTAGGTCTTTGTGATGAAAAATGTTCATGTAAACATGTGTCCGATTTTGGACGGTTATGGAGTTATGACCGTTTTAAACTCAGAATAGAAGGTAACAATTACTGTCAATAAACGGAGCAAAATAATAAACCAGCATAATACATGATACATTTAAAGTATGAATGTAAAGTTAACTTCAGGAAATTACCTTTAATTTGAGTTGATTGGTGCTTAAAGCTGATTTTCGAAAATGCCACCGCCGGCCGCAACACAGGCTGCCCCTCGGTTATGAACTGCGCCGTACATACCAACCCACCCCACCTTATGTAGCTCTCAAGTGTAGATAACGAGAACGCTCTGTCTGTAGCTGACTAAAGATAGCGACCCGCCAGCTGACAGATGCGGTTCACACGAGGGCGTGTACAGGAATGAAAAAACGGTCATAACCCCGTAACCATCCAAAATCGGACATATGTTCATATGAACTTTTTTGATCACAAAGACCTAGGAAATCACCTCCTGCAGTTATGCCCTAAAGTCGTGAAACAACCTGTATATGTATATATATTGTGCTCTAAGTAAAGTTAAAAGTATTAATGAGGATGGCCTTCATTGGTATAATGTTCACACAAAGAGAGAGTTCTACAT